TGGCAGTTTAGGTGGAAGCACTGCTGAGTACAGAGCACCTCAGCTTTCCCCTACTCTGCTGCTTTTGGCCCTGGGGGATTTTTGGGTGCTTTGAGGGACTGTGGCTTGACTCAGAAATTCAAATAGTAGAAAGATGGAGGGTATTGGTTACATAAGGCAGCTCTAGTTGGTGAGAAGACCATTCTGTTTGAAAGATAACTCTTCAGAATGTTTTAGGATTCATGACACTACTCAACACTGTTCCTTGTAAATAATCTGTGCTGTGGTTGGTGGGGTGTGGGCATCAGTGCCTCAGGTTCCCTGGCAGGGCTGGAGGAGTTCAGGTCATGTTCCATGTCTGATAATCAGCTCACTGTGAGGTGGTTTCAGAAACAAGAAACTGTGAGTTGTGCCTGAGCTGTTTTGAACATCCCAGAAGATATTTACCTTTTTCCCCCTCAGCTTCTGACACAGTTTGTCATACTCTCAGGACAGGGGGAAAGAGGCCTTCAGCAGTGATCTCTTAATATTGTTCTCTACATGTAATTCAGCATATGGTGTACTGTTTTAAAAATGATAAATACATTATGGTGTTAACATGAAGATATTCCTGTTTTCCATTAATCTTGGCATAAACTCAAATAGACTTTTACAGTTGCTAAACCTTGAAGAATACTCTGTTAAAATTAGAACAGATTTTTGTATCATCAGTATTTTCCATTGTTTATAATTGCACTCGTTGCGATTTGGTAAATGTTCCTTGGCAGTAATGCCATCAGTTCATTACAAGATTTTTGGACTGCATTTGAAATGATTTCATTTTTAAAGCATATGCAGGCCAAGAACCTGGGAAGCAGCACAGAGCAGAGCAGGAAGAGTCAGTATATGTTAAAGGAAAAACTATTTTCCTATAAACAGCCTGTGGATTACTTGTAAAAAAGCCATATGTTGGCTTGAAAAAGGAATTGCTGCTTTTTCCTTATTTAGAATTGTTTCACAGGAGTTGCTGATGCAGCAGTCCCCATCCAACGGTGCAGAGTGAAGAGCTCTTGGCTTTACTGAGCAATAGGAGCTTAGGCTTCAGCATTTTCCATGAATTGCTGAGCTGCTTGCAACTTTGGAAATGTCTTTAGATCTTGTTAGTAAAGAAATCACACTGGATATTTGTCTGCTGTAGGCAGAGATTGACGTGGAAGAGAATTTGTGTTTAGAGAAGGGATGAAAAGCAGTCGTGTATTCAGGCAGTTCAGTGTGTGAGTTTTGTTCTAATCAGCTGCACTTCCTGAAAAGGATTAAGATATGTGAATATGTAGAACTTTTTAAGTGCAGATGGTGTATGTAATGTACATTGAAGTTCTCTTTTGTGGGGCATTGTAAGGAGATGGGTAAGGAAGGGGAGGAACATCAACCCCCTTGACTTTCTGGTCCTTACACCAACAGGGAGATCATGGTCTGGTCACCTGCTGAACTCCTCTATAAGCCTGAGTTTTCTTGGGAGTTCTACACTTCAGAAGTGTAGAACAAAACTCAAAGAAATAATTTACAATAGTAGAAAGGGGGAAGATATACAGAATACAGACATGCAACTTTCTTGTTTCTAGCAAGACTTTCTGCTGGCCACTTTTGCTTCCTTAGCTGATTTTGTCTTCCAGTTTCCTTTTTGATACTAGAAGATGAATGAACTCTGTCTCATTAACTGAACCATCTTTTCCTTATGTTAATGTTTAATTTTCATGGTATCCTTTTAACCTTCCTTTAGAGTGACCATAGACTTCAGTGTGGAAAAAGGCAATTTAGTTCCTTTTAAATACAGTGGATAAAATTAGTTAGTCAAGCAGGATAGAGCCCTTGTGTTTCATGCCTTTGGTGTGTCTGACAGTCATGTGTTGGAGCCAGTGCATGTGGTGCCTCTGAGTTCTGGCTGTGCAGATGTTCAGTCTGCATTTACAAAAGCAGCTTCTTTCTCTTGTTATGATTATGGGTCATTTCTTTGAAAATGATCAGGTTTTCCCCACTTCTCTGTATTTCCTTGGTTTTTAGCAGATTAGTCAGTGAAATGCCTTGTGCTGGCAGCACATTTCCCCTCTGTCACAATAACCAGTTCCTGCATCTGGTTTTCAGGACTGTTGAAGATTTGAAAAACAATGAAAGTCAGTGGAAGGATTCTCCTCTGGCCACCAGGCATCGAGAGATGCTGAAACGGTGCAAGACACAGCTTAAGGTTTGTAAGTGATTCAGCTCTCAGCTAAACACTTCTGTGGCCTCTGTGTGTGTTGACTTTGTGTCCTAATGTTGAAGTACAACTTCTCTCTTCTGCTGCTTGAAAATGGTGGGTTTGAACCTCTGACCCCTGGGAGTGCACTGGATGGTGGTCCTGATAAAAACACATCTGTCCCTGCAACTCTAAATTGTATTTTACTTGCTCTGTTGGGGCTTATGTGCCCTATTTTCTTGAAATAAGAGTGCATTGTAAGAAGAGAGCACTGTATAATCATAGTGATTCTCAGATCTATTGATTATCTTGAAGAGGCCTCACATTCCTTTATGCTGTCTTGCCCTGGATTAGTTTTTGTGTGCATGTTCTGCAGAAACTGGTGAGGTGCAAGGCTTGTGCAGATGCTGGTTTGCTGGATGAAAACTTCCTCAGGAGATGCCTGAATTTCTATGGCATGGTGATTCAGCTGATGCTTCGCATTCTTGACCCTGCCTATCCCAAGTGAGTGTCAGGTTTTATCTGTGTAAGTTGTATCAAAGATATTTCAGATCCTGTTAGATTGCTCACTGAATTTAGCAGTTCTAGAATTATTTTTACTTGCAGTGTCTGCATTGTTATGTGGTTGGTGACATGGAATATGTCTGTTATTCAGTTCAATGTTCACTTGGGGTGGGGGGCTCCCTCAGGTATGTTTGGTACCCTTGAAGTACTGACATGGAATTCTAAAAAGTCAGGTTTTAATAAAGGATTCCCATGGAAGAATTTCATAAGTGAGCACATGACACTTCCTGCTTAACCCTGCTGGTTTACTGTCCTGTTTCTCTCTTCTGTTTTACAGCATAAAATTGCCTTTAACTCCCGAGGTTCCAAAAGTATTTGCATCATTGCCAGAGTTTTACGTGGAAGATGTTGCTGAATTTTTATTTTTTATTGTACAGTAAGTAAAGTTATATTTTAAGGAAATATTAAATATATTTAAATATTGATAAATATTGATATATTAAATCATCACTAGAATAATATTATTTAAAAGCCATGGCTTAGGAGTAGAACATTAGGGTTGGGGTTTTTCATTCAGCTTTCCTGTTTCAGATATGCTCCTCAGGTGCTGTATGAGCCCTGTACTCAGGACATTGTGATGTTCCTTGTTGTGATGCTGTGCAACCAGAACTACATCAGAAATCCTTATTTAGTAGCCAAGCTGGTGGAAGTGATGTTCATGACAAATCCAGCTGTTCAGCCCCGCACACAGAAGTTCTTTGAAATGATTGAGAATCACCCTCTCTCCACTAAATTGTTAGTCCCCTCCTTGATGAAGTTTTACACAGGTAAGTGCTTTGTCTGTAGCTCACTGAGTGCACAATGGTGTTCTAAGGCCAAAGGCTCTGTTAGCTGTTGTAGCTATTAAAAAAAACCCAAACAAACCAAAACAAAAAAAACCCAACAAACCCATATAGATCCCTCGACAGATCTTGAGTTAGAATCTTGTGGAGATGAGGCTTTATTGCTCAGGAATTGAGGGAAATAGCATTAGATGGAACCTTGAGAATTCCAGTCCTTTCACAAGCTGTTGTGCACTGACAATCCAGCAGTGTGAATCAATGTGACAATTGCTTTTGTGGTCTTTAGATTCTAAAATTAAAGCTTTTTTCTTTGCTTTGCTTCTGAAGGAATATTGGGATTTCAAAACTCTTCATTGTAGTTTTGCTAGTCCTGTAGATTTGGATGTTTCAGAAGAGTTTTTGCACCCATAACAAAACCAAGTAGTTTTGTAGGGTACCCAGAGTTTTCTTAGTGCAATTTTGGACCGTGGGATGAAGAGCAGAGTTGAATAGAGAAAAACATTTTGGTTTCTGGGGCTTTTTCTTCTTAAATGAGGCTGGAAAATGTACAGTGCTGCTGCTTCTAATGGGAATTAAGATGGCGATTTCTGAACAGGAATTGAATTTCATCTCTTCAAGTTTCTCTGGGTGCTTGAAGCTCATCACATTGGAGGCAGCAGGGAGAGGAGTGGTGCCAGTGAATCCTGGTGGGAAGGTTTTGGGGATCTGTTCTCTTTTCCAGATGTGGAACATACCGGAGCCACGAGCGAGTTCTATGACAAGTTTACAATCCGCTACCACATCAGCACCATCTTCAAAAGCCTCTGGCAGAATATAGCTCACCATGGTACATTTATGGAAGAGTTCAAGTGAGTAAGAGGTTGTCTCAGGCAGTTCCTGTCGTGCAGGCTGCTCAGGCAGGGGCCTGAGGAGGTCCCTGCCTTTGGGACTGGGTGATGCTGCTTTCCGTTGTGTCTTACATGGAACCCCTTCCAGTAGAACTGGAGTGTTTCTAAACTGAGCTCTGGACACCACAACCCACTTGGCTTGGGGAATGGGATCATTGTTGGAAATATTCAGTGCAGGAGTGTTGCTGGGCTTGCAGCCTGCTCTGCACACCCACCTGCTCTGCCGTGATACCTGTGTTTCGATGTTTTCAGCTCTGGGAAGCAGTTTGTTCGCTACATCAACATGCTGATAAATGACACCACTTTCTTGCTGGATGAGAGTCTGGAGTCCCTAAAACGTATCCATGAAGTGCAAGAGGAGATGAAGAATAAAGAGCAATGGGACCAGCTGCCCAGGGTGAACAGAGCTGTTTTTCAAAGTGCCCTTTACTTATTTTCAATTCTTCAATACAAGACCATTAAAAAACTTTTTTATGAGGGGCAGCACCCACGAGCTGCTTATGAGAAGCAGTTCTCGATGCTTTTTCTTGCTGCCAGTATGGCCATGGTCACTCTGGATGACATTCTGCAAAAATCCATCATTCTGCCTAGTTATGTTGTGGCTGGCAAAGAGAGTGGTGTGAAGTAGAAATAGTATAAAGTTTCAGATTACTGTGCACTTAATTCTAAGTGGAGAAACCGAGACTTTAACCTTCCTGAAGGAGGTTTGGGAAGATGCTCGCCAGTTGAATTCTCTTCAAGGAATAGAAGCTTTTATTCTGTTAATGCATTGGTCCTTGGTAGATTCGATGCAGATAATTATAGTCCTGTACCTCAGAGCTTGGCCTGATTAAACAGTAATTGTGTGTGTTCACCCACCAATGTCAGGTATTTCTATTTTAAGGTTATTGATTTAAAAAAAGAGAAAGTACAAAAGGAAAAGCTATAAAGATCTTGTTTGTTAAACATTTTCTGATTTGCTCTTCTGAAGCCTTTCTTCCTGTCTCTGCCTACCAGCAAGGTAAAGCCATTACTGTAGTTACAAAATGAGCTGGTACATCATCTACAGATTGTTCCACTGGAGAGTGTTTATTATTTATGATGGTGCATAAATTAGAGAGAATTAGAAATCATTTGACTCTCAGATGCCAAGCTGGTTTTGAAGTATTGGCATTTGGATGGAAAGGAAGCATAACCCAGTTCTGCAGCTGTGAGGAGCAGTTAGAGGGTATAAACAAACTCAGTAACCACGGGGGCTTGTTATCCTGTTTGCATTCATTCCTTAGTGTTGCAGAATTCTGGAAAATTGATGCAGACATTAGTACTAGGTAATAAAAACGAGCAGCTGTACCTTAGATTAAAAGATGTCCCAGATGTATTTGAATCAGTGTGTTCCTTTTGTTAGCTCCCCCTAGCAGCGTGGCTGTGAGGCTTTGCAGGGTGGTGCTGTGGGAGGTTCCATGGCTGTGTTTGTTTGCAGGAGCAGCAGCAGGCCCGGCAGTCCCAGCTGGCCCAGGATGAGCGTGTGTCCCGTTCCTACCTTGCCCTGGCAACAGAAACTGTTGATATGTTCCATATCCTTACCAAGCAGGTCCAAAAGCCTTTCCTCAGACCTGTAAGTCCTGCTCAGATTTAAGTTGGTTCCCTGCTTCTCTAACATCTCTGGATTATAACCTAGAAATGTTTGGTAGCACTTAGTCTCCATTCTCCTCCCCTTTCTCCAACTCATTAAAATCTAATTGCTGTTGATGTTATTTGATGTTATGTATATATGCTGTTGTGTTATTTGAGAGCATTACCTGAGTCACTGGGATGGTGTGATCCTTCCAGACAGAAACTGTTTGCATGACATTTTTTAATGGCAAACATGCATAAAGAACAGACACTTCCTGCAAGCCTACCAAAAGAAAATTTTATTAGTTAATAATTCCTGATCTTGCTGTGTGCAGCTCTAGTGATAATCTTCTTTACCCCTGCCTTCACACTGTGATCTGTGTTATACTTTGCTTCTGTAGGAACTTGGACCACGACTGGCTGCTATGTTGAACTTTAACTTACAGCAACTGTGTGGCCCCAAGTGCCGTGACCTGAAAGTTGAAAACCCAGAGAAATACGGGTTTGAACCAAAGAAGCTGTTGGACCAACTGACTGACATTTATCTGCAGCTGGATTGTCCTCGCTTTGCTAAAGCAATTGCTGATGATCAGGTGAGCTCCAGAAGGATGAAGGAGAAGGGCAAAAGCTCTGTGGACAAACAGGACTTTGCAGAACATTCCAGAAGCGTTTCATCTTGTGTGCTGCCAGGCAGTTTGTCTTACATCCCTGCAGTTTGTTTTCTTTCAGCAGATGATCTCTGTTCATATTCATATTCCCAGTGCTTTGCAAACCTGTAAACACACCCCAATATCCATAGCACTTCCCACACATAGGAAATGTCCTGAGCATGATGTGCTCGTTGCCTACAGCCTCATTGTGAATTAGCAGAAATACTTTGTCCCTTTGCAAGTGGGAGAACTGAGGCAGAGTTTTCACTCCCTCCCCCTTCCTCATCGAAACAGGCAGAGCTGGGACCAAGAGCCTTCTTCAACAAATCAAAGTTCATTCTCTAAATGAACAGTTTGCAAATTGTATTCCTTCTGAAATCACGTTATTAAATGGCTGTGTAATAAACTGACAATGCACAGCATGTATGAGACAATTAACAACACCTTTGAACTCATGGTAATATTCAGAGCAAGATAAGCTCTTGCTCAGCTCTGTGTTCTTGTAAAGTTGTCAGACTGCTGAGCCACATCTGTCCATGCCCGTGTCTTACAATAAAAACTTTTCAAAGTCTAGAGGGGAAGAAATGTTCACAGTAGCTGCTTGAGATTCTAGTGGAAGCTGTTTGCATGTCTAGTGAAGCAGCAGTATTGAGATAGCTCAAGATGGTTTTTCTGTAGTTATTTAAGTTCTGATAACTGCAGGTAATACCAGTAACACATCTGAAACAGACCTGATGTGTTTGCCTGTGTATAATGAATGATTTTATGCAGTTCAGTATATATGAAAATGAGGATGCTATCATCATTCATCCATGCCAACCACAGCAAATGCACAGACTGACACAGGGATTCAAAAGAAAGAATCCTGCGGGTGTGAGAACTGGAAAAAAGCTTAATTAACAAAGTGGCCCTTCATCAGAAAGGGGTGGGGGGGGACCAGTCTCTTGGAAACTGTCAGTGACAGGAAAGAAACACTAAGGAAATGTGTTGGTTAATGGCTACTGGTATTGGGAGAAAAAACAAAACAAACAAAAAGTTGCTTGATCATGGTGGGATGTGTCTGAAGCATTTTCAGAGTTGTGCCATTTGCAACTCCCAGCACGCAGCAGAGGCAATCTGCAAACGTTTCCTGAGCCCTGGGCACGCTGCCATGGCTCTGCTCCCCTGGGCACTGTGTCCTGCCTGAGTGGCACTGCCTGGGCCACTGTGCTCTAGGTGAAAGCAGGGGGGCTGTGTCCAACACTTCCCCAACAGAAACAAATCTGTGACACTTAGTGTGTTTTGTTTTGTCAGAGAATTCAACCTTGCACTGTAAAGTAAATACCACTTTTAATAAAGAGGTTTATGTCAAAACATGACATGGTGAACTTGAAAGAAAATTATGTCTCTGTAGAACACAGTTCTAAAAATCCTTCCTTAACTTTCTTTTTCACATGAAAGTAATGCTTGCTTCAGTTGCATTTGGTCTCTCTGGATATTCCTACTGCACTGGGTGGCAAATTTCCAGCATTCACTCTCTCTGAGCTGTCTTACTATTTTTGCTACATCATGGGGTGGGTTTTTTGTTAGTTCTTGTTTGGATTAGGAGAAAGATTCACTCCTTTCCCAGTACTGCCTTGCATATTATCAGAGAAGTTAAGAAATTTTTCAAAAGTCATTTTATGCTGTATTTTCAGTCAAGACTTATGAGAACAAGAATACAGACAGGAGAATGGCAAGACAGATGTTTTGTCTAAGGACAGTTCTAATAATTATAGTTAACCTCTCTCAGCATCTTCCTCATTTTCTTTAAGTGATACTGCCTTTTTTTTTCCAGTCTTTAATAATTTTACAGTGGTGATGACTGGTTAAAAAAAATCCTAAGTCTACCCCAAGGCTGACATTTTGGTGCTAGATGAATGCTACCTACATGCTATTTGCTTTGATGTAAGGTTGAGGTTTCATTGATCCTTCCTTCTTCTGTTTTAAAAATGCATTAAATATCTTTACTGTTTTTATGGTATGTAAGGATACTACGACTCAGCAAAGTTGTCCTTCTATGCTTTGCCTGTAGAGGTCCTACAGTAAAGAGCTCTTTGAGGAGGTTATCTCCAAGATGAGGAAGGCTGGAATCAAGTCTACCATAGCAATAGAGAAATTCAAACTGCTGGCAGAGAGAGTGGAGGAAATTGTTGCCAAGAACGCCCGTGCAGAGATTGATTACAGCGATGCCCCGGATGAATTCAGAGGCAAGTGGGGTCTTCTCAGCCCTGCCTGTGTAGGAAAGAGGGATTTTGTTTGTTACATGGATTCCATATGTTAATAGAAACTGTATATTGTGTATGAAGCCTTGCACCTTGCTCTATTTCAATGGCATAGTTAAGTAAATACAGAGCTAAGAGTTCCTTTTACATGGCCTTGAAAACAGCAACCCCCTCCCAACTGAAAATAGGGTGACAATGGTGAATGCTTAGTGCTGGGTCAGAAAGGGGAAAGTGCTGTAAAGATTTATGTTCATGTCACCATTTTCTGTAACTTCAGCAGTGTACTGGGGACCCTGAGCATTGGCTCTGCACTGTGGGTTTATGGAAAATAACATTTGTAGCTGTTTGCTCACCCTAATGAGGAGACCCTTGTGCCCTCAGACCCACTGATGGACACTCTGATGACTGACCCCGTGAGGCTGCCCTCAGGAACCATCATGGACAGGTCCATCATCCTGAGGCACCTGCTGAACTCCTCCACAGATCCCTTCAACCGTCAGACGCTGACAGAAAACATGCTGGAACCAGGTACAGGGACAGCTGCCTCTGCCCGTGGGCTGGGGCAGCTCTGTGCTTTCACAGCACAGTCTGGGGCCTCAGTACAGGTAACAGTTCTTTCATTTCAACTTGCACAGAAAACTTCATTCCCTCTGCTTTCCCTTTTTTTTGGGAGGGGAACTCTCACACCCTTGCTTTTGTAACTACTGGGCTGAAAAACATTATGGTATATGAATGAGAAGTGGCTGTTGGTCACAAGAGATCCTCTTAATAAGTACTATTACCAAGTAATTTAATCATTCTTTTTTCTCTCTCTATTTTTTTTTTTTTTTTACCTTACTAGTGCCAGAACTTAAAGAGCAAATCCAAGCCTGGATGAGAGACAAGCAGAATGACCATTGAAATCCCCTTGCAGTGCCCACCCCCAGCATGGGCAGAGCAGGGCAGGGGCTGCTCTGGCAGGAGTGGACACACACACACCTGGGGCTGTGCCCACGGCACTGAGCTGCAGTAGTGACCAGGAGCATGTGGACGACGACAAAAGCAGCTTAATTCTTGTACATATATTTAAGTGATGGTCAATAACATGGAGGACAAGCTAGGAAGTTACTTATGTTACAAAACTGTCCTTCAGTATGTCACATTTTGGAGTTTTTACAGCTGAATTATTTTAGCAAAGACGAATGGATCAGGGCAGCATCCCTTCAACCTTGTTTTTTACCGCCAGATATCCGTTAATTTGATTGTGGTTAGAACCTTGGACATTTTGCTGCTAAAGTAACTTTTTTCTCTTTCCCTTCCTTTCTTTCTGTTCCACCCATCAAACCTGCACTGCTGTCTTTTTCTTTTGTAATGCAAAAAAAAAATACAAACCCTGTGAAAATCAAAATCATTCCCCTGCCCTTAAAAGAACATATTTTGTGCGATAACTGTGCCTGCAACAAAGTGTTCATCTTGGGATCGTATTTTTATATTACACATATTTGCCTATTTGGTTTTTAATTGGTGTTAGACACAAGGATAATTTCAAAAAACGAAGACTTCACACGTGGATTTTAATTTCCTTTCCTTGAGATGTCCCTTTCCTTTATGTTGATCAAGATGCTCTGGTACTTGTGAAAAGCCTTGAGATAGAAATATGTGAAAACAGCTGCCATGAATGAGATGCCTGGGAATACCAGGATTTCAGTGACTTGAAAAAAAAAAAAAAAAAAGGAAATACATTCTTTCAATGCTGCAGATCTATGCTTACTGACAGTTCTGAGCCATTGGAGCTTGTCCACAGAGAGCAGATACTTTTATCCTTGGAGGCTGCAGTTTGGGGCAGGGGTCATTTTTTATGTTGCTTACCAATTTGTATCCATGGCTTGGCCTTACCAAAGCAGAAAGGGTGCAGGAAATGTAGAATTACGTTTTTAAAAAAAAAAAAAATTCACAAACATTTTTATATTACTGCCCCCTGCATATGATACTTGAATTTCCTTTTTAAAAAGGATTTGAAACCACAGTGTTTTAAAATTAAGTTGGAAAAAAAAGTTGTTTTTCTTTTATTTGTTTTTGCCATGTCTTCTGTTCAATTCCTGACTCTCTTGAACTACAATAAATGATACACACTCGCACAGAATGTTTGCTTGCTCTTTCTTGTAAGAGTGGCAGTGAAAATACAAAAATACAAATGGTTGGGTGTCTTTGTTCAGGTTTGCTGATAGTGATTTAGGATCTGGAGATACCTTAATAACTTATGTGGAAAATTTCTGTGCATATAGATACCAGTAATGCTTTAAACTCAAGAATGTTCCCAAGCAGGTGCCACTGAGCACCTGTTGATAGCTCTGTGACAGCTCCAGGGGGAGTTTTGGTGAGGTTCTGTAGAATCCAGCATTGACCTTTTAGGTGTGCAAATAACTGTGAATTATAAAATGTGAAGGTACCAGTTGTGGGCTGGTTTCTTTGTTTGCTTGTGGGTTTTTTAGTGGTGCTTACTCTAACAGCATGAATGTGTAATTTCTTTTCTGCAAGGAAGGGAGAAGATTCCAAAGCTGCTGTGTGGGTCGATGCTGCAGCAGGGAAGTTTGTTGCCTGGTTTAGAGTTATAACCAGTTCAAATCCCCCTCTTTCCTCTTCAGTAAATCACAGATCAAAGCCTGCTCTGCTTTTACCTGCAGGCTGCAGCTGAGCACCCAGCACAGATTCTGATGTGTTACAGGCTGTGCTGAGCTCTGTTTTCTCCTTTACTGAAGAGGTAATTTCTATATAAACTCTTACATGTTCAACTGTCCCCTCATTATTGAGGACTGCTACATGAAATCTCTAGTAACATCCCAGAGTTTATACTTCTTTTGATAAAGGACAACTCTTCAGTAGTGAATATGTGTTTTTACTGGAGGATGATCAAACTATGGCTTCACATTATGTTCTGGTTTTTTTTTTCTGCAACCATATATTGCTTCTAGTGACAGATTATAAAATGAAAATTCTATAGTTTGGGTTTTGCCAGGAGGAAATAGAAATATTTACATTTGGTGTGGGATGTTTTAATTCAACACAATGCCCTTCAGAATCAGAATTTATATTTGTTCTGCCATTGTGTCAGACTGACCTGAGGAATATAAATAGCCAAGTGCATTACTGAAATGTTTTGTCTAATTATGGCATACATCTATCATTTGAAAACATGTCAATGCAGATATTACACAAGACACAAGGGCTTGACATAAGTGGCCAAAACAATTTTATCTGGGCAGCTAGTATCAAGTATTTCAAAGGTGTGAGCTCAGACAAGTGTTCTCCCAAATTCTGCATTTGTGAGTAGAATAACGTAATATTTTTTAATACAAGCTGCTGAAGTGCCATTCTATAGTGTCTGGCCACAAAACTGAAGCAAACCCCTGTCTTTCAGTGGATAGTGGACATCTGAGTGTCTGAAAAGCAAAGCTGAAGCTGGACTAAAAATCACTCTCCCACAAAAGCATATTGGTTGTGTGACAATTCTTAGTTTAGTTAATTAAATGCTACATGCAGTTTTTGGTGATTTCCCTTCCCCTCACTAAATGTCCTTTACCTTTTTCAGTCCAGCTGTAACTTCACTGCAATACAGAGACTTTTTATTAGAGGTCCCAGAAATGATCAGTGGAGGGATTTACGTTTGACACGTCCATGTGTGTGCAGAATGTAAATGGTTTACCCCAGCAGAGGCCAACTCTTACAAAGTCACCTTTCCTTGGCATTTGTCCTCATCACTGCTCTCTCCTTGTCCTCCAGCTCTACACTGGAGAAATTCCCGGGGCAAGCACTGCAGCTGGAGCAATACAATTCAGGCCAATTGATTCTATTGTATCTCAGTTTATCCTTAGGAATGGCCCAGTTCACATCTCGGAGCTCTTCCCTGCTGACGCTGTTCATAGCAGGGTGGCAGCGCTGCTGCGGGCAGAGTTCACTCCCAGGAGTGTTTCAGCACAGCCCCTTCTCCCTGAGCTTCCCCCTGCCCTGCTCTCGGGGCTGTGTCTAACTGCAGGAACCAATTTCCTCTCTCCTAACCAATGTACGTTCACTGCCTTGCTGTTTTCCATCCTGTAACTTGGCATTCTCTGCCGGTTTCTAGCAGATGTTTTCAGGACTCTGTGACCAAGGGTGGAATTAACGTGCAGGAGCTGCTGTGTGTGAGCACTCCCCAAACTTGGGCATTAGACTGATGCAGGAGCTGCTGTTCCCAGGAAACACTACACAAACTTTGCTGAAGTAAAATCAATCAGTGTCTGTTGCCATGGGAGGTTACAGCACGCACCCAATATCTGGGCAGTTCGCAGGAGATTTTGAAAATGGTTGGATTTTTTTTTTTTAAGGTGTTCTTGCCCTTTTCAGAGAATAGCTGACCTAATTCTCCATAGATGTAGGTAGAAGTTAGCACAATTACACCACCCTAAAACCACCGTTAAATTATCTGTCCCATGGATAGGAAGTAGGTATTTTTAGGACATAGGAAAGCTGCCTGGTTTTGATTTGTTGTTTCTGTGCAATATTTCCCTAAGCCTCCTGTTCAGCCATGCATTGTTGGGCTTCTGCATTTGTTGCCATAACTGCAGATGAGACTGGCAAGGGGAAATAGTCACTTTTCACCAAAGTAAAAAATAACTCGTTCTGCCAAAAATCTGAACCTTAAGGGGAACAGAAGGGACACGGTGGAGATTAACATAGCTAATAGCCAGGAGGCTGTGAACAGAAATAAACCTTGCTCTGAAACTAGAAATCTCAGGTCCTGAATGTTCTCAACATCTTAAATCCAATTTGTATATGATGATGTATGAAATATATGTAATTAAGGCATTTCATGATTTTAAGGTGCTTATAAGATTAAACATGAACTAGTTTCTAAAAGCAGAAATGACCAAATTACTAATGATAAGGAGGAATTTAAAGCTGAATTATTGCCACAAAAATAAAAAATTACTATGAGAATATGCAGGGAATTATTGAAAGTATGAGAGTTAATACAGCATCTTTGACTAAATTTAATCATTTGCCTAAAAATACATTATGAGGTTTAAAAAAATGACTCGACTGCTCAAGAAACGTTGTGAAGGGAGGGAGGGAGGATTACTAATCCCTCCTCTCTGAGCCGTCGCCCTTGGGCCTCGTTTACGATGCAAATCCCACTGGATCAGCCAGAGTCGGGAGCTGGGGAATTCGCTACCCCAGACACGGCGCAGGGGAGCGCCCCGGGCCAGCGGCCGCGGGAATAACGCGGTGCTGTCATCCCGAGTGCCCGCCCATAACGCGGAGTTTTCATCCCCTGTGCCCGCCCATAACGCGGTGTCCCCGCCGTTCCTGGCCCCTTTGCCCGCCCATAACGCGGTGTCCCCGCCGTTCCCGGGCCCTGTGCCCGCCCATAACGCGGTGTCCCCGCCGTTCCCGGGCCCTGTGCCCGCCCATAACGCGGTGGCCGCGCTTTGTGCTCGCCACCAGCACCGCCCCCGCTCGCGGCTCGGGAGCGCGCACGGACACAGCGCGGCGGGCGGTGCTGCGGCCGCCGCTCCCGGTAGGCTCCGGGGCGCAGACGTGATTTGCATCGCGGGCTCTGATTGGCTGGAGCTGGGGAGGCGCCGCCTCCCCGCGCCCCCGCCGCTCGGCGGAGCGCTGTGTTCGGAGGGCGGTGCCGCTGCGGCCGGACACCGCCAGGCGGCGCTGGCGGCGCACGGGCTGTGATTGACGGAGCTGCGCGGCGCGCCATTGGCGGGCTTTGCCGAGGGGGCGGGGCGGCGCGCGGCGATTGGCGGAGCGGGGGCGCTCCCCCCGCGGGGCGGGCGCTCGGCCCGCGGTCCGTCAGTGCGGAGCGGCGCTCGGGCGAGCGCGGCGCCCGTTCCTCCCGGCGCGGCCTCGCTCTCCTCCCTCCCCTTTCTCCCCTCCCTCCATTCCCTCCCTCGCCCTTCCCGCTCCATTCCCGGCAGCGGGGGGGGGAATCTCCCGGCCTCGGCGGAGGCGGCGATGGGGATGGCCGGGTTTTTGTCGCTGCGCTGCCCCGCCGGCTGCTGACCGCGCACCGCCCGCGTCCCGCAGATACCCTGCGCCAGGTGAGGGGGCTGCGCGGAGGGGCCTCGGCGCTGGCAGGGGCCGGAGCGGGGCGGGGGTGGTGGCTGATGCCGTAATGCGGAGGGGGAGGCGGCGATGCTGCCGTGCGCATCTGTGGGGCCCCGCGGGGGGCTGAGGCCGGGAGCGGGGAGGATGGATGGATGGACGGATGGATGGATGGATGGATGGATGGATGGATGGATGGATGGATGGATGGATGGATGGATGCATAGCACTGGATACCCCGGAGCTGTCAGGGCAGCGGCGCAAGGGCGTGGGGCCTCGCTCGGCCTTGCCATCTGCCCGATGCCATCTCCTCGTCCCCGGGGACGCTTCCCTCCCTTCCCTCGCTTCCCTTTCTTCCTTCCCTTCCTCTCCCTCCTTCCTTTTTCCGCGGGCAGCCGCTCCCCGGCTTTTCCACCGGCTGGATGCCGCGTTCCGCCGCCCGTCTCCCCCCGTGCAGCTCGGCTGGGGCGGAGGCGGCCGGGGCCGGCTCGGGAGGGGCACGGCCCGCGGGGCGCTGCGGGAGCGGCAGAGCGGCTCTGGGGCCGTGCCCGGTGCCCGGCTCGGGCAGCCATGTTGCGAGGATGAGCCGGCAATCCCGAGCCGGCAATCCCGAGCCGGCAATCCCGGGACCGGCAATCCCGAGCCGGCGATCCCGGGACCGGCGATCCCGAGCCGGCGATCCCGAGCCGGCAGTCCGGGACCGGCGATCCCGAGCCGGCGATCCCGAGCCGGCGATCCCAGGACCGGCAATCCCGAGCCGGCGATCCCAGGACCGGCAATCCCGAGCCGGCGATCCCAGGACCGGCAATCCCGAGCCGGCGATCCCGGGACCGGCAATCCCGAGCCGGCAATCCCGGGCCCGGCGCTCCCGGGCATCGCCTGCGGTGCAGAATTCGCCAGAAGCAATGATGAATTTACGTCTGCTTTCCGGAATGTAAATACCTTCATACCAAATTCTAAATTCTAAAGGGTATTTCTTTCCGCTTCCAGCTGCTTCTTAGCTCAGTTCTCTTTGCCGTTGCACAATGCGCTGTTGGTAAATAGCCATGTGTG